CCCTTTCTGGGCTCAGCTCCAGTCCTGACGTGCCAGTACATGAGTGGCTAGCCCCCACCCCACAGGCCTTCACTCTTCTGTTCTGTAAAATGGGCTCCAAGGGGGTAGCGTGCGTGTTCTGGGGGGCTGCTCTGCTCTGGCAGGGGCTACTGAGCATGTACCCTGGCAGATTTCTGTAACGTGAACCCCAGATTCTAGCACTCTGGGGGTCACGGGGAACACGGCAGCGGTGGCAGGGAAGGGACGAGCCCAGACTCCAGGGGAGACGCCCTCCTTCAAGGCCTCCTTCCTGGGGCCCTGAGTTGAGTTTTTCCCCCTGCCCTCCTTCAGGCCTGATTCCAAGTGTGAGGGTTCAAGAGCGGGAAGAGGCAGCCCAGGGGGAGGCTGGGGAGGCGCGTTCCTTCCCCCCTCCCTGCTGGAATTCCTTCCGTCTGTGGAATCCGACATAAAGGCCCCTTTTCACTGCTGTGAGGTCACAGCACGCAGATGGCGAAGGGGAAGAAAGACAGTTCCCCAGGGATCAGGCCGCTGGGTTGAAGGCACTGCACGCGCCCTCTCGGTGACCGCCGCCCCCGCCCTGGCCCCCAGACAGAGCCCAGAGATAGCTCCGCGGGGCTGGTGGACTACGTGACCCCACTGGGGGGTGGGGGTGCCCAGAAAGCCCGGGTACAGTGGAGGGGAGAGGGCAGCATTGGAGACAGTGGGTGAGGGTCTGTGTGCACACCAGCGGGTCCTGCTAGAGGCACAGATGTCCACCGTCTCCATCCCACTCCACGTCTAGGCTGGTGGTCACAGGAAGTTGCCCAGCGTGGATCTGTGGGTGAGTCTGGGAAAGTGCACAAGGCAGGCCGGGCTGCAGGGAGAGTCGCGGATGTCACCAGCGCAGAGAGTGAGTAAAGCCGCTGGCCTCATGTTCTCTTCCCCCCTCCCCGGCGTCTGTTTTCCCAAACGTCTGTTTGTCTGACTGCCCAAGAGTCAGAAACCTGAAAGCAACGGGACAGCAAAAGGCCACCCAGGGTCAGCCTGGCCGTCCAACACCTGCTCATTCCCAAGCACTTCACTGACGCCCCCCACCCACCCACAGACTCTCCCCATGAGCCCCTCACCCCCAGAGCTCTGCATTCTGGCCTCTCTCCAAGAGGATGGCCAAAGGAAAGTTCCGGAGCATGTGCACACTGCTTCCTAGGAATGACGTCAGCAAAAGAAAATGAGAGAGAGAGAGAAAAAAAAAAACACGTGGAAACAAGGACTATTTTTACCTCCCCAAATCACAAGTGAGACGGGCGCCGACTCCTTCAACGCCAGAATGAAGCCGAGCTTCAGAGGAGATGGATTACTTCGCGCCTTAAACGAACACACACACAAACTCCTGGGCAGTTTGCGAACGTTCCTCAACTTGCAGAGAATGCTTGGAGGAGAGCAAAATCCCTTTGAACTCCAGGGGACACTCAGTAGGCCATACCCCGCACCCAGACCGCTCGGGTCCTCGTGCACAGTGTTTCCCTGGTCCCGGGGTGCCAAAACTATGGGGACGAGAATGGAGACAGGACATCATGGGAAGGAAGGTGGCAGGCTCCGAGGCGAACAGCCTGTGCCAAGGGCCCCCGACTTTAGGGGAATCTACTCAAGATCACCAACTCCCCCAACTGTGTCCAGAGGTGCCGATGTGACTTCACTTCCATGGCTCACTGGGGTCTGCATACCCCACCCTCTTTCGCCCCCTGGCTCGGCCTGACCCAGGAGCGGAAGGGAACAGCCTTTTCTTCGGGACAATTGTTTTGACACTTCCCTTCTGAAACCAATCTTTGGCACTTGGAAAGGAAACTAAAAAAAAAAAAAAAACCCTGCTCACTGCATCCCTTTCCATCCCGAGGGCTGACCCTCTGAGTGTCCACCAGAGAGGTGACAGTGCAGTGGGAGAGTGGGGAACTGAGCTGTCAGGGGGGGCTGGGGCCCTCTCCCAGGAAGGCCGAAGCCCAGCGAGGACCCTGTCCATCTCTGCGGGGGGACAGAGAAAGGCTGACCTGGCTCCCGAGTGTCACAGGCTTCAGCTCTGGAAACAGAGACACAAGGTCATATCCAGAGGGTACATTTGCTCATGTGTGACCGGATCTGGTCATGGAACCTGTGTGCGCCATCCTCTTCCTCCCTGTAAGACCAGGATGACAGCTCTGACTCTGAGCCCTGGGCCAGGCCTGTGACACTGTGACATGGGCCGCTTCCATCTGCCTTCAGTGGATCAGAATCTCGGGACTGTCCAGAATGTGGGGTTCAAGCTCGCGGTGGGCTTCAGCGCCATGCACCGCACTTGATATAGTCTTTCTTTTCCTTCCTTCCTTTCTTCCTTCCTTTCTTTCTTTCTTTCTTTCTTTCTTTCTTTCTTTCTTTCTTTCTCTCTCGCTTTTGGGGTCACACACTGGGCTGGAGCGATAGCACAGTGGGTAGGGCATTCGCCTTGCAAGCGGCCAACATAGCCAATCTGAGTTCGAGTCCTCCGCCCCTCTTGGAGAGCCTGGCAAGCTACAGAGAGTATCTCGCCTGCACGGCAAAGCCTGACAAGCTACCCGTGATGTATTCCATATGCCAAATACAGTAACAAGTGTCACAACGGAGACGTTACTGGGCCTGCTCAAGCAAATCGATGAATAACGGGAGGATAGTGACAGTGGGGTCACACCTGGCGATGCACAGGGGTTACTCCTGGCTCTGCATTCAGGAATGACTCCTGGAGGTGCTACCATATGGGATGCTGGGAATTGAACCTGGGTCGGCCGCAGGCAAGGCAAGTGCCCTACCCACTGTGCTAACGCTCTAGCCCCTTGACATGGTCTTTAGTCTCTGTGTCCCCTGTTTCCTGCACCATAAGATGAATTTCTGTCCTGAAAGTGCTCCCTCTCCTAAGGCAGCTGAAAGGGTGTGTTAATTAGGTACTGAAAGCTTTTTGGGTCCCACCTGGCACATGGTTTGGCCCTGAAATGGTAGCCGAGTACACAGGTGGTGTAATGGAGCGGTAGAACTAAATATCCGAACCACAGCGTCAACAGCACTGGAAACAAGAGTTCCGGATTCCAACAACCGAACCTAAAAAAGGGTGCCAGGACAAGGCGGCAGGGCTGGGGGTGGGAACCTGGTCTCCCTGGCAGAGGGAAAAAGCCACTGGTGGGGGGCATGGTGCTGGAACCTAATATATCCAAAACCCAAATATAAATGAGTAACTCTGGAAATCACGATGCTCTGATAACATTTAAAACATTTAAAAGAGGAGTGCTGGTTGCCCGCCATGCAGAATATGGCACAGGGGGAGGCATGGGGACCCCAGAACCGCACCCCCACCCCACCCCACCCCCTGCAGATAGCCGGTGTCCCATGAAGGTGCCTTTCCTTTCCTCCCAGGCCAGACCTGACCCAGCCTGAAGCCCAGAACCACCTGGGCCAGCGGCCTCCCGCTGAGCCTGAAGTTCTGAGGGGCTAGAAAAGACTTTTTCGTCATTTCCAAGCAGACGCGACAGCAGAGCCTGACAAACCACAAGGACCATTTTAAATCCTGGGCCTTTTCTTCTGGGAAGTTAGGCAAGAACCTTCCCAAATGTTTGCCCGTGGGGCTCTCTGCCAGCGAGTGACTCATGCACGGCTCCCCACAGGCCTATTTTATTTGGGGGTGGGGGACCGAGGGAGGGCCCAGCCTGGGAGGGGGGAAGGAGCGGCCACATTCCCTGCAAACCTAGAAGGTAGGTGGGGTTTCTCCCCAACACACACACACACACACACACACACACACACTTCTTTTTTCTTCTTTCTTTTTTTTTTTTTTAAACCTAGGACAAAAAGAAAAAAAGAATGTGGGTCTTTTTGTTTCCTTCCAGGTTTTGTTTGCTGAAAGAAGATGTCCAAAGTTCACTGGGAGAGCTCGAGGCTCTGGGAACGGGCGCTCCCAGTCTGCTGCCTCGCTTTCAATGAAAATCTTCTTCCATGAACTACCACCTTTTTTTAAAAAAAATAAAGTCTCCCAGCCTCCCCTACCACCCCCCAGCCCCCCGCGGCGCACATAGGACCCCCCTCCTGCAGTATTGCCCTTTCTCCGAAGCAGGTAGAAGTCAGACAACTCAGAGATGAGAACAGCTTACGGCAACCTTCAATGCAGAGTGTCCACCTTTATAAAGGACAACAAAACACACTGGGCCTGGAAGTCTGTCCCCAAAGCTGCGGGCAGGGTTCGCAGGCCTCTGTCACCCGGCCACATTCGGCAGGTGAGGACCTCTCTCTACTCAGCCACGCACACAGAGGCCCCAGATCGAGACCCCAGTGTCCTGGACCCCGCACGTCCCAGAGGCCACTGGCTGGCAGGCCCAGGAATGGAATAAGGGTTAACATGCCCCGCCGGGAGAAGAGCAAGAAGGAAGGTAAGAAAGTAACCAACACAAGAGTTTCACAGCCTGCACTCCCCCCACGCAGTGCAGGGCCTGCTCCGAGAGCGTCCAGCCAGGGGTCCTACCACACTTTCAGGCCTGTCCCCGCTGCCAGGCCCATCCGGGACCCACTCGGGGCTTGCTCCTCTCGGTGGGCTGCCTGGCACGGGGACACCTCACCGACGGGACCGGGGTGGCTCTGCATTGATCAACAGCGCGGCGCGCTCCGGGGCACGGGTGACCCGCGCACACACCCACAAGTCCCGCACACAACTTGGGCACGGGCACACGCATGGGCGCGCACACGCCCTTCCCGCGGGCACAGGCACGGGCGCCACGTGAGGAGCGCCTGGCACGCTCCGGGGCACCTCGGGGAGCCCCCTGAAGGGGGGCGGCGGGACGCAGGCCACGTCCCGGCCCTCCTGCGCGCGGCCCGCGCCCCCCCACCCCCGTGGGGTGGACGGGAGGAGGACGCCGCCGGCGCCGTGGCCACTCACCCCCGCGCCCCGGCCGCGCGGCCCCCCTGCTCCTGCACTCTCGGATCCCCCCACCCCAAGTCCCGGTGAGGCCCGGGCCGGGCCCCACGCAACTCACCGCGCGCCGGCGGGCTCGGCTGGAGCGCGGGCCACGGGCGCGGGACCCCGCGGGCGCCGGCCGCAGCGGAGGGTCCCGCAGGCTCGTCCGCCGGTTCCGCCGCCCAGTGCGCGGGCCCGCGCGCGCGCTCCCGCTCCTCCTCGCCGCGGGGCCGCGCCGCCCCCTGCGCGTACGCGCGCGCGCGCTGCCGCCGCCCGCCCGACTTGGGGGGGCGCCCGCGCCGCGGCCGGCCCCTCTTTAATTCAAGAGCTCTGGGCTGTAGTCCACTCTGCCCAGGGCCCGCCTCCTCGAGGCAGAGATGGGGAAACTGAGAGCCAGGCTCGCTCTGGGGGCCGGGAGTGGGGGCACGCAGCATCCCCCCCCCTCCTTTGCTCTGCTCTGCATACTTAGGGCTAGGGTCACCCCGGAGCCCGTGGTCACTGCCGCCACTCAACTAGGCGCCGAGGGAGTCCCTACGTGGTGCAGGGGCCCGTCCTGAGCTCCACGCGGGCACTTCTCTTCTTGTGCATCCCAGCACCGGTGGGAGTTAACGTCCAGCAGTTTCTGGAAGAAAGGAGACCCGTTCCTGAGTGCTTCCCAGCCCCTCGTAGGAGTCCCCCGGCCCCGTGCATCCCCACCCCCCACCCCCAGGCTGCAGCTCAGTTCCCGGCCTCACTTCCTGAGGGGCCCCACGTGCATGGAGAGTTCCTGTTTCCACACCAGCGGCTTCTGTGCCCAGCACGGGACTGCCCGGCACCCGCCAAGGGGGCCAGAGGGGGCTGAGACGGCCTGGCAGGACTGGCCCTCCTCATCCTAGTACTGTGCCATGCCCGCAGGGGCCCTGAGTACTCCCCCCCCCCCTTGGCCCCTTGAACACCCCTCAGGGTGCTGAGAGCTCCCACAGTCAGAATGCCAGCTCTGGGGTCTCTTTGCCTACCTCGAGGTTTTGCCCCCCCTGCTCTGGGACGGAAGCCTTAGTTGTACTTGTGCCGTTTGCAGAGGGACAAAAGGAGGCCAAGAAGCTTAGATTCCCTCCCCCAAAGTCATCTGCTGGTGGGGCTGGAGCAATAGCACAGCAGGTAGGGCGTTTGCCTTGCACGCAGCCGACCTAGGTTCGATTCCCAGCATCCCATATGGTCCCCCGAGCACCTCCAGGAGTAATTCCTGAGTGTGTGAACCAGGAGTAACTCCTGTGCATCGCCAGGTGTGACCCAAAAAAGCAAAAATAAAACCAAAAACCAAAAACCAAAAACCAAAGTCATCTGCTGGTGAACTGATTTCTCTACCCACATTTCTGGCCTCTGCACTCCTGCCCGTGGATGGCATGGATGGCATGGAAAGGGTGGTCAACGGGGACACTGTGAATGGTGGCGTTGGTGTGGATGGTGAAGACAGAGTGGACAGTGTGGACAGCGAAACTGGGTAGATGGTGTGACAGAGTGGACAGTGTGGTCAATGTGGATGGTGTGGTCTGTGTGGATAATGTGGATGATGTAGTTGGTATGGACAAAGAGGACAGACTGGACAGGGTGGACAATGCAGAGAGTGTGGACAGTGTGGTTGGCTGGTCATCTTGAATGGCGTGGATGGTGTGGAGAGTGTGGTTGGCTGGTCATCTTGAATGGTGTGAATGGTATGGGCAGTGTGGTTGGCTGGTCATCTTGAATGGTGGGGACGGTGTGGACAGTGTGGTTCGCTGATCGTCATGGACAGCGTGGACAGTGTGGTAATGGATCATTGCAAACTAGGTAGCTGCTTGCTTGGGGAACTGTTTGCAACACCCCTGACGATAGATGTGCATTGCAGTAAGTACATGAACAGTTAAGGAAACGTTGCAAAAAAAAAAAAATGGAAATGACCGGTTTGAGCAGGACCCAGCAGTGTATCCAGCAGCCAGTGTCCTTCCTTCCTTCTCCCAATAATTGCAAGCACCTTCTATGCGCTGCGGTCCACTGGACCCAGGATCGGGCAGTCCTGGCTCTGTGGGGGCTGCAGGCTGGGGCATGATGGGGAGAAACTGCAACGTCAGGCAGAGCAGGTAGAACCATGTTTGGGGGACCAGAGCAGGGGGCGCGGGGGTGTTGAAGAAGAGTTCTCTGATGGAGGGGGCCCTCACTCCTAGCGCTGAGGGAGGGCGGGAGATCCCTGTGCTGAACTGCTGATTATTCTATAAACTGCAGAGCAGGACCCCGAACCCCCATTGAGGACACAGACGGCGGGGTTGGGGCTGGACGGAGCAGCTGACCAGGGGTAGAAGCACTACCCTGCCCAGACCTCTGTGACTCTGCTGTTTGAAAAGTCCATCCCCAGCGTCACCCTCTCACAGCTTATCCTGGTGGCCTTCTCTTCCAACTGGAAACTAGGCTGGGCTCAGAGAGGCCCAGCAACACATCCCAGGTCACGCATCTGCCGCAGTCGGCACCATCCCCTGCAGCCGATGGTGCTTGTGGCTGAAACTGAGAATACTTCACATTAGGAATCGTGCCTTCTAGCCTATTTTACTGCAGTTCAGTGGCAGGGGCTGGGGACAAGGAGAAGATGGGGACCTGGGCTTTGCTCCTTGAGGCAGGGAGTGTAGGAGCAGGGTTTGACAGGGAGGTGGGAGAAGTCATCCACACCCTTCTCCTGGACTCCCTCCTGCTCACCCCTGGCTTGGTCTCAGCTCCTGGTGACATGCTGGGGGCTGGGGATCAGGGGGACCTTGTCCCAGAGGCCCTTAGAACGTCCTGTGCTCCCCCGCAGGTGCCCGGGGTAGAGGGTGCATAGCAAACAGTGCCCCAATCAACTTTTGTTTTTAACTCAAAGGATTTTTCTGTGAGTCCCAAGATGAGTCACCCGCGAGAGGGACTTGGTGAAATGACTCCGGGAGCTGGGACTCCACGCTCGTCCTGTGGGCCTGCTGTCAGTCTGGCTGGGGAGAAAGGCCCTCTCTGTTCCCCCAGCCCAAGAGTTTCAGAATTAAGCCCGGGCCATTTCGTGATGTCTCTGATTTCGGGGAAGAGAAACCACTATTTCTGGCACCTTCTCTGCCCCCGTCAGCCCACCATCAGGCGGAAGCCCTGGGTCAGGTTTCATTTATTTTGTCTGTGCCCTGGTTGAAGTCCTTCTGGCCAGTGGGGATGGGAATTGGCGGGGCTGTCCAGCATTCTAGGCGGCGTCCTTTGTGTCGCCACCTGGATGTGTTTGTGACTAGCACCCCCTTTGCCTGACCCCCAAAGCGTTTTGGTTTGGCTGACCCACTTTGGGTTCATCTGGTGGTTGGCGAAGGTAACTTTGTGTGTGGGTGGTGGTGGGGGAATGGTGAGTGGGGCTTGTTCCATTTTTATGTGAAATCATCACCCCTTTAGGGTCTCATCTCTGGCCCCTTCTCGCCCGCTTCCCCCCACCCTCCCGCTGACTGTGTAAATGGCAAAAAGGGTTTCCAGGAACTTCCGGAGCTGACAGAGCAACTGGTCCAGATGGTCGGGAACCTTCCACCCAACTCTGCCACTCGCTTCCATGTAACCTGGATCAGTTCCCCAAAGCCCCTCCACTGTGGCCCTGAGTTGCACACTGGGAAGACCTACTGACCCGTTTGGGTTCAGGGGGATGCAGGCTGTGTAACCGCAGTGCATGGTTCACCTTTTGAAACCTCCCTTTGGTGTTTTTAGTTTATTTTAAAAATCTTTATGTGCTCAATAGGTAACAGCGGCCTCTAGTCCAGAATTCAAAAGGTGGGCTCGTGAGTCGGCTCAACAGGCTGAATGCAGGCTATGCATGCAAGAGGGCTGGGGTGGACCCCCAGTGCTGCAGGACCTCCCCCCCCACCCCGAAGCTCAGAGCCAGCCGGACAATGCCACGTGTGGTTTAAAGCAACAAAATGCTAAAGTTCTTGAGGGCACAGGCTGTCGCGAGCTGTCCTTCCCTGGTGGGAACCAGTGTTGGCAAATACATGATGTCTTCGTGACTAGGGGTGTGATCCCAAGAGAATCAGTCAGACAAGGACCCAAGTGTCGTCTGGACGCCAGTGTGTCGGGGGCATCTGATCTCCCCCTCACTGTGCTCTGAACAGAGAAGGGCCACATGGCTCCCCCCAAGCATCCAAACGTCCTTAGATTTCTGGTAGAAGTGAGTCTGGGGCCCAAGCACCCTGAAACTTCTGGACCTGGTGGCCAGGGGGCCTCCCCTGCACCCCCAGGATGGCTGACTAAGTAGATGGGGTGCCTCTAGGTTCAGACTCAGAACAAAGGTTCATTTGTCAACCACAATCTGAAGGAGGGGGCCGGTATTCAGCTGTGGGGCCCCTCAGTTCTGTCTCTGGTTTTCTGGGAATAGGGGTGATCCTCCCAGGCCTTGGGGACCTGCCAGGTTGCTCTTGAGTAGACGGAGGAAGAAGAGGAGGACTGGGCAACAGCAGGGTGGGGAGGAAGCCCCCCCAACAACACACGGGGTGCAAAAGTGCTGATTCACTCTGACGACAGGCATGCAGGGGTCTGTGGCCACGGCCACCGGCTACTGCCAACCTCCAAGCACTCCCCAAGTGACAAATCCCTGACTGAGAAAGAAAATCCTGCATGGATAGCTGGTGGCTGGGGAGTGGGGGGGCGGGGGGGGGGGCGGGAAACGCCTGATCTGGAAGGATTCCTTAGCTTGACATGCAGTGGCCGTGGGTCTGGGGGACCAAGACCATGTGGGTGCCGCAGAGCTCCCCACTCTGGGCTCTGGGCTCTGGGCTCTGGGCTGGGCACGTCCTGGGTGTGGACCCTTCCCTCATCCTGCCTGAAACCTGCGGCGACCAGAGCCTGCCATCGACACTCCGCCATCAGCCCCCCAGAACTGGGCCGGGGCCAAGGGAGCTTGGCAGGAAGCTGGCGGTGGCGCCGGGGAGCCCCGGCTTCAAAGCCACGCTCTGCCACCCTGCAGCCGTGTGGTCTGGACACCAGCCCTGCGGCAGCCTCGGAGCGCGGCCCGGGTGGAGAGAGGCTGATGGTCGCAGCTGCTCCTCAGGCTCAGCCCAAGCTCCCACACCACACCTGGCCCAGAGCACGAGAAACCACAGCTTGTCGAGCGCTTTTTCATTTCACGTCTCATTGAATTACCCCCCAGGAGCCCGTGAGGAAGGCACCAGGGCTTTCTCTCGCCCTGCCC